CCCCAAAACCCCAAAACCCCAACTTTAATATGAGGGTTAGAGTTAGGTATTTGTCGATATAAATCAAAGTATTAAATTTAGTTTTAAAGTAAAATACTTTTCAAAAAAGTTAATAAGCAATTGATGAATCAAAATAAATAAGATAATTTAAAATCACAAAAGCCTCTCTATTAAATCTGAATGTGTTAAATAGCTATAAATTCAATCAAACTTTAATGTAATTATCTTGATTACTCAAAACTAATCCAAGCAAAAAATTTGAAGATTGGTTATCTATTTTAAGCATAACTTCTTACTTACCTCAGTCATTAGACTGAAGAAGCAGAATAAGATTTTGTAAAAGGTGCCCCTATAGGAAGAAGAACTGCAAATCCACATTCTTTAGGATAAGAGTTTACTGGAATTTAACACATACATTCAAGACTTTCTGTTGTACTACTTTTTTAAACAGTTGAACATGTTTGATATTAAGGAGAATGATTGTAAATTTATTGATTAACCCCAGATGTTATTTTAACTAAGGATTTATAAGATTTATCTATTCCTATAAAACCAGTCACATACATTATCTCATATCTGGAGCTACCATTATTGTACTTAATTATTTATACATACTATCCATACAGGTAACCATTTATATCATTTGATATGGTGAATGATGATGAATTTCTCATTTTTACAAAGTCAAGAGTAAGATTGCCTGTAAAAGAATAAACTACCTATACTATATCTGGTGGACTAGTTTTATTAGCTGCAGTAGGTGTATTTATGGCTTAAGTATCATTGGTTTTGGTTAAATTATTAGTGATATTTTTATCAATGGTGATAACTTTCTGCTAGATAGTCTATAAATCTTAATTTGAAAAATCATGTGAAGTTGTTCTTCTTGTATTCTTACTAGAGTCTATTATTTGAATATCAAATGGAGCCAGGATTACAATGCTATAATCTTTTACCGCACCAGCAGCCCAGGTAACATAAGCTTCTAAAAGATAATTTCCTGCAGCTAATCCACTTTCTGAGAAATTGAGGCCATAATTAGTATGTTCATTATTCGAAGAAAACGCTATCTATTTTAAAGTCACTGGATCCTTTAATCTTAAGATTATTTTTGAATTCACAGTTTTACAATCCAAGGAGTACATTCTAGAGTTATAAGGCACTAATCTTATGTACATATTTGTAGTTTGATTTATGGAGAAATAGTAATTAGATGGAACAACATTTGACATTACTCGATCGTTTAATTTGTCATACCAAGATGTTATCCAAGTATCATTGACGTATGAAATTGTGATTGATGAAAATGCTTGAATCATTTCATCGGATGTCATCATTATTACTCCATCTTCAGCAATCACAACCCCTGCTTGATTTGCATAAGTTTTGTTATCAAGGCCAACGGTTTTCCAGATAGAGGCAGTATCATTGAATTTTCCATTGAATTTTGAATCCTTCTTCCATGGATTTCTTATTCTATATAGATTTATCTAGGAATTATCTGCTGCTTTAATTACCACAACACTTATTAGAGAAAAAGTATGTTAGCAAGGCAGATTGAATTAACAAAGAGCAATATCGCCAAGAGGATTAGAAGGTGTATCAACATTCATAACGAAGTTTGAGTTATCTGCATCCTTCACCAAATTCCAGAGAGTATCAGCTTTAAGTAAAGTCATAGATATACGCTTGGACGGCGCATTGGTTAAAAATTCAACACCTTCATTATTGTAGCCACTTCCAATCTTCTCATAGTTACCGTTCACTTTTGCCCAAGCTTTTTCTATTAAAGCACCCCAGTAGGATTAATCAGTCCCAATAGTTGCAAACAATGGAGTTTTTGAAGTTTTTATTGGAATGAGGCTATCTACTACAACGACTGTAGGAGCTCCTTTGATAAATACATTGAATGCAAAGAGACCAGCTGCGTTATTCTTTTAATTTACAAAAATCTTTTTGAATCTAGCATCAACTTCTGCCACAGAAGTAATGCCAGCAAGAAAATAGCAATCTCCAACTGAGCCTTGATCAATATCACCCAAGAAATCAGATTTGCCAAATAGAGAACAATTTGGGCATATTTCTTGAACTCTTAGCCATTTGGTATTTGCATATGAAGCTAATTTATTAGTAGTAAAGCTTGTTGATTGCCAAGATATCGAATTACTTGATGCAGGAAATAAGCTATCAACCCAATATGTTTAATAATTTTGAACTATATCCACATACTGAGGATTCACCTATATAAATATATTTTTAGCTATAAAACATATTCTAAAGAAAGAAATAATTGTAAACATTAAATACCTGTTTGAAATTATCGATTGCTGTAGTACAATTTATTTCAGATGACAAAACTCATCCTTATTTCTAGAATAAATCTTTTATCTTGAAAAGTAAGTTGCTTAACCCAGAATCTCCACTAGATTTAACAATTTTAAGTAGCAAAATCAATGCTAAAAGCATCAATAGAGTTAAGTTGTGTGTAAAATTCATAATGATTTTAACTTTAAATATTGTTTATATAAAATCCTTTTTGCTATTTTATTAATATTTATTTATTGTGTTTGATTTATTCTAAATAAACAAATTCTCAACTATAAATGCATATCGGGGTTTTGGGGTTTTGGGG